TGTAACCTTCAAGACTGCCACCCTCCCTCCACCTCACAGTGACACTCCTAAAAGTCTTCCTAATCCTTCCCAAAAATTCTAATTGGAGACCAAGTTTTCACACATAAGGCTCTATGGAGGCCTTTCTCATTCAAACCCCCAAAGTGGCATTTCAGAAATTAGCTACTGTAATCTAATCATTTCTCAAAGGTGGACTGAATATTTTTAGAGATGTGGGCAATGAAGACAAAATGATGAGTCATGAAACTTTAACTGTGAATTCCTATGACATTCCGTTTTATTTAAAACTTGTGAAAATCTTCACTTTTGAAAATATTTCAAAGTACAATTGTTACATGGGCATAAGATGAGAGTTAACAGATTGCAGAGAAACTCGGAAGGTTGTGTACATTTTAGGTATGATGTTCAATCACAGAAAGGAGTTATTTCAAACGTGAGTGACATCATCATGAGAAAGTTGAAGCACACTGTGTGTCAAGGATAGGGAATCACATTAGGCATAACATGACGCACTATTGCAGTCCTGATGTTTTCAACTAGTTTTGTTGTTGTTGTTGTTGTTGTTGTTGTTGTTGTTGTTGTACATGGGGGAGTAGTGAGGCATACAGTTCAGTATGAACTTAGAAACCAAGAGATCAGGAGTCTCCCGATATGAGCTTGGCAGCTGTATTATCTTCTTTTCCTGATGCTATAAGAAAAGAATCAGACAGACTCTTTTGTTGAGTAGAGGATTTACTCAACTGCAGTGCTTCAGTGTGGAGACCTTAGGACAATGGGAACTCAAAGTGGCTGTTCATATGACGTTCACAGTCCAGATGCACAGAATGGGTGTGAGCTATCAGTTACTTTCTCTACTTAATACCATCCAGGATTCTCATCTGGGGAGTGATCTTTCCTACAGTTAACTTGGGTCTCCCCAAGTCAATTACCCCCAGGCATGTTCAGAGGCTAAAAATTAAGGATAAACTCATCTCCTAGGCAACTCAAGAACTCAGAAAGTTGACAATTAACATAAAACACCACAGTGGCTCTTCAAGGCAAGTAGTACAGAGCAGCAGATTTCTAGGCACTGACACACCTTTGCTGCTTTCTCTAGTAAAGGGATGAGGAACCAGAATAAGAGAATCAGGTGGCTGGGATAGATTCTATGATACTGTACGCCAGCACTTCTAACCCTGAAATTTTCTCATTCTTAAGCTCGTGTGAGGTACAGTGCAAGTAGTTCAAACTGTATATACTGCCCTCTAGATCATTGCTATCAACCGTAAGATGTCACTTCCTCTAGACATATCTGTCTTCTCTATGCCCATTTCTCCTTCCCTGAGTAGCTACCTGTAATGAGACCTGAGATAATGGACAATGATGATAACTGAGATAATGGTAATGATAATTGAGAGCTTTGCAAAGATCCAGACCCTCAGGCTCTAGTAGAGAAAGAGCTGTGATTCCATGCATACTACATCATCCTCATGTGTAGTAAGAGGAGCAGTGGGAGGCATTCCCAGAGCCCGGCCACCCGGCCGTCTGGCTAGCTTATACCCCCAAATAACAACACACTAATTGTATTAGTTAGATTACTTCCTGACCCATTAGTTCTAGACTCTTATTGGCTAACTCTCACATATTGATTTAACCCATTTCTAATAATCTGTATCGCCACTTCACTGTGGCTTATGGGCATGAGTCTAACCAGCATCTGTCTTGGAGAGAAGAGCCATGGCATCTGCCTGATTCTGCTTTCTTTCTCCCAGCATTCTGATCGGTCTGCTCCACCTATCTAAATTCTGCCCTATCAAAAAGCCAAGGCAGTTTCTTTATTTAACCAATGAAAGTAACACATAGACAGAAGATCCTCCTACATCACTCATGTCAAATGAAATAGGGTTCACTGAGAATGCATCTTAGCTCATGTTTTTCCACTCTATCATCCTTTCTTCAGTAAATTATTACCTACATCCCTATAAGTCATTTGTACAAGAATTCCTTTCTCAGGTTGTTCTTTGGGTAACTGGAACTTACTCTTAATGCAACTTTCATGTAAATAGATGTCAGCATTGCATTCTCTCACTCATAGAACTCTTTTAGCCCATAACATTAATTGGAAAGCCTTCAATCTGTTCCACTGACTACTTCAGGCCAGGCATCCCTAAAAAATGTATCCATATGCCTATAAAGCCTTTGCCACAGCATTTCTCCCATGCTTCAGATATACTGACACCAGAACTTGATGATAAAGCCCTATTGCTGGGGTCCCTACTATACACATTGACCACAAGGTATGGATAATACAAATTCCTTGCTATCAGGAAGCTTCCTCCCTACTAGCTTCTTTTCATAGTATTGCAAAGAGTAATGCAGACTGCTGTGGAGAAACAGTCATCAGGCACCACCCTACAAATGTTAATAATGACCAGGGTGGCAGGCTTTGTCCACATGCATAATAGTTGTATGATTTTAATGGATATAATCAACTGCTTCCTGATTGGATTTGCACCTGATCTGTACAGAGAAACACATTCCTGATATTACAAATGTGGCCAAGAACCCATGGTTAGGGATCTCACAAGCTCCAGAGCAGAATGTAGCATTATTATTTTGCTAAATATATATAATGTCAAATTGTTCTTTTATTGGTATCACTCTGTCCCCAGATTAGGGCATCTCCCAGCTCTTATCAGAGAAGAGCCTTTGTGCAGTGAGCGCTGTACAACACAGAAACTTAGAACTGGTCAAAGTGCAGAGAATACATGAGTGTGGACTGTTTAGCCACACCCCTCAAGGAGAAGGGACAACCATGAAAGGAGGAGGGTCATGGAAAGTGTAGATAAAACTAGCCAAAATTCTTGCTCAGTGTGGGAAATGGTTCACAAATCTCCAACTCCAAACTGAAGAGCTATGGATAGCCAAAAGCTTCTGAGCGAGAGAGAGTCAATTTTCCTTAAAGATGTGGTTCCTAGGAGATCAACTACACCTCCTGGGTGGCTCCATACCCAGGGGTATATAGACAGCACAATGGAGTCAATAGAAAAAAAAAGAGCACACGGTTGTGGAGAGGACAGGAAGGGATGTAAGGATTGATCTAGGAGGAGTGGGGGAGGAGTGGCAGGTATATATGATCAAAACACACTATATATATAAAAAATTCTCTATGGTTAAAAAAATATTTTAAATATCAATAAAATAGCAAAATAATAAAATGGCAGTGTTTATTTACATATTTAATGTTAATATAATATATAAGTGCATATACATATATATTTAATATATTACATAGTGTAAAAATACTGTTTCATTTTAGCTATTGTTTAACATTGCTTTGGCTATTAAGAGTATTTTACAAAAGTGTTTCCTTATGAATTTTAGGGTTTCTCTTATTTCCTACTTCTGAAGAATGTCAATAATATTTTGTGGTTATTGCAATGATTCTGTAGATGGGTTTCATTGATGTGACCATTTTCACATTAATTCTGCCCATCTATAATCACTGGTAAATCTTTCCAACTTCTAATACTATTGTCATTATGTTTCTCCAGGGATTCACACATTTATTATGGAAGTCTTTCCTAACCTTGGTTATGCTGTAGTTACTTTTGGGAGGGGTACTGTAAATCACATTTTTCTCAAAATATTTATCATTGAGTATTTCCCTGTACCCAACCTCATATTCTACTTTTGAAATGCAACACTATTATTTGAGTGGGAATTATCCCCATAGAATTATGCTTTAAACGCTTGGTCTTCAATTGGTGGTGCTCTTCTAGGTGTGCTATCAGATTATTCTACTAAACTAAGTCTAATTTTTGCTTTAGAAGCAGAATCTGAATTAGTTAGTACACTGGGGCTCCTATATACTCTTTTTGTGCAATGATGCTATCTGTTGCCAGATTTTTTAATGAAATTGTTTTACGTAAATCTGCCAAAAATTAATAGTCACTAGACATTTGTAAATCTGTAGGCAGGAGCTTAATTTTCAAATTACCTTTACTTTTTAAAATGAGTTTTTTAAAGCTTTATATCTATTGTTTGCTAACATTTTCCCTTAATATTAAGGGCAGTCTGAGAATATACTGCAGAACTACAAGCTCTGACAAGAGAAACTACGTAATATTTTTAAGATGTTAAAATGTTGCCTACAGAACAAGCAGAAGAGACTTCAGATAAGCCTGACCTAACACAGGTGTGTTCCTCTGCACACCTCCTAGTGGCTTAAAGATTTGTTGACACTAATGCCTTGGTATCTGTCACTTATGGCCCTCCCTTTTTGGAACCAACTGGGACAAATCTGATCTTTGGTGACAAGTGACAACAGAAGATTAACCTCCAGATGCCTTTAGAGAACACTGTTTAGAGATTCAGAGATGAGGTAGGGTAACAAAATTAAAGGGAAGGACACAGGTTTGTTCAAGGGAAAGAGGAAAAGAGAATTACTCAGCTCTCCTCCCACTGCTTGAGTGGTCTGTGTAGAATACTTAAATACTCTCCTCTTTGTCAGAGAAAATATCAGGAAGTGGGTTTAATATGCATGGTCTATGAAACCATCTTTCTGTATTGGGAGGAGAATGTAGAGGGAGCAGAGTGGGCAGACTAGAAATTTTCTGTGGTGCTTCCTTTGCTACTTATAGGTGAACTAACTAGAAGTTCAGAGGTGGGAACGACTATTTAAGGAAGAGAAACAAGGAAACATGGTGTTTTTGTATTTGTAAAACTGCAACTTTTTATTTATTTAATATGTAAGAAAATCTTTTTTTTAAAAATATGATAGACAACAAAGATTTCTATTGGGTTAAGGTAAGAGTTTACAGATTCCAGAGAAAGCATAAGCTTGGTACCATGTTGTAAAGAAATACTCTTCAGACAACAGTAGTGAAAGAATAGTTGAAGTTAAAAATCATTATCAGCTGGAATAGAAGTTTTACAACGGGCCTCTTAGAATCAGCTCACAGGGGTCTGCGCCAGGAAAGCTGGGTGATAAAGAACAGGAGACTTGTGAGTGAGAGCACTCAGCAGCAAGAACCACTAGAGCATGCTGGGAGGCAGCAGGTTGTCCTGCAGCAGGTAGTTTGACAACAGACAGGGCGACAGCAGCTGGAGATGCAGCACTGGGGCCTGCAGCAACTGGACACACAGCAGCTGGGGCGGCAACAGGAAGGCCTGCAGCAGCTGGAAATGCAGCAACTGGGGCGACAGCAGGAAGGCCTGCAGCAGCTGGAAATGCAGCAGCTGGGGCGACAGCAGCTGGATGCACAGCAACTGGAACTGCTACAGCAGGGGCGGCAGCAGCTGGAGATGCAGCAAGAGGGCCTGCAACAGCTGGACACACAGCAGCTAGGGCGACAGCAGCTGGGGCGGCAGCAGGAAGGCCTGCAGCAGCTTGAAATGCAGCAGCTGGGGCGGCAGCAGCTGGGACGGCAACAGGTGGGCTGGCAGCACACAGACTGACAGCAGCTGGGTCTGCAGCAGCTGGACACACAGCAGGTGGGCCTGCAGCAGCTGGGCTGGCAGCAGCCTTGGCCACAGCCCTCCTCAGAGCAGACAGAGCCACAACAGGAGCTGACCATGGTGTCAGAGGTGGAGGTTCTTGGTTGGTTTACAAGAAGGTGGGTTGGAAGATTCGGAAGTGGGAGTCTCCCTACCCACATCCCCTTTTATACTCCACTGAGGGGCTGCTGTCCTCACATGCAGAATTCTTTCCTTGTTATTATTTATGTTAATAAACAGTTGATTATCATATTAGGCAAGTTTCCTCTCCTGACTAACTTACCAAGGCAGATGGAAAACAGTTTCTTTTCCTGGTATTAAGATTCATCATCAGCTCTGGCTGAACCATTTCCTAAGTATCTTTTCTGCCTTAATTTCTTCCAAATTAAGACATGACATTCTGTGTCTAGTCATTGTGTGGTTCAGTCTCATGGTGGATGGCTCCACTGTCTATGCTTAGATAATCATGATTTTTAAAGACTCATCTTTGTTTCTGGTGACCCAGGTAGATAAAGGTTTATTATACGAATGGCTCATTCACAATGGGTCAGGTGTGCACTGACAGTGTGAACATCAAGACCATTGGCATGCACAAAGAAAGGTCTTTCTCATATGATTCTTACATCTTCTAGACCAATTTCAAAGTGGAAAACTGAATGGGGAAATGTTGATGTTTATCCCCCACCTTTTTGTTGCCAGAGACAACCCTTTAATAGTCACGTATAGAGCCTCTCTCTACAATGGATTGCAAACCTCAATGGGCTTTTGTTCAAGATTCTCATCTCTAGCCTGCAGGATTATTTCCCTACTTTGACCATCTATCTTTCTATGTTAACAGAACATATGCAGCCATATCCTGCCTTTCCCCAAGATTTATTTTGCAATTTCATTTGATATTCAGGTGGTATTGTCACTTATTCTAATTTAAACTCAAATGTCCTACTCCCAGTTTGGGTTTCTGAGTAAAGGACTCTCCTGTTTTATGTTTCAAGTGGTAGATTAGACTCCCCTCTTAATGTTCATTTTATACACACACTTACATATATATATATACATACATACATATATATACACATATATATAGCATACACATATACGCATATATATACACACTTGTGTTTGTGATTATATATCACATATATAATTATACATACATGTGATGCATGTATGTATGTATCACATCTGTGCGTAATTATATATGTGATATTTGTATGTATATATCACATGTACAAATATGTGATGTATATATGCATATATCACACTTGTAAATAGAAGGAGAATAATAGGTACCCATTTTGGTGCACATTAAATACTTGAAGGACACAAAATACCCATCCAATTAACTAGGTGATTAATGTCTCAAATATGAGGAATGCTTCAGTTCCTCTGCAGTTCTCTGTTGGTAGAGGAATTGATAGACAGGGAATAACTGTGTGATAATATCATTAAATTTCTTAATTAGGACCATTTTGTGACCAAGCCTTTTGTGTTATTTTTTTAAGACATTAATTTGTTTACCAAGCATCTAGTCTACAGGCTTTCTTCTCATAGTCTCATGTTTGTAAATCTTGAAAAGATGAATGGTTTAAATAATTACACGTGCTGAGAGAGATACTCCCCTGGATTGCTGCAGTAACAAGGGCACCTCTACTCCCACACAAATGGGCATAGGAGTTGTGGAGCTCAGTCCCAACTGATACATCTACAAACGAACTCCTGTGCCTAAGGCCCAGGGATCATTGCTGAAGAGGGAGAGGATAAATTGTTACAGCCAGAGCACCAGGGAGTTTGTTGTGAGACTTTGTCTCCTAGGAATGTCAGAAGATACACCTGTATAATCTCACCAACATAGTTGCTTAAACATGAATTAAACTAGGATGACACCACTAAACATGCTAACATGGATGGGAAAAGCTCACGAGGCCGCTAAGGAATACTTAGAGTAGGAGCAAGAGTCTTCTCCAGGGAAGAACATATCAATCGGTTATCCATACCAAGTAGTCATCTCTGGAAAACACGCATAAAAGTAACAATACAGACTGAGCAGGTTGTATTTATGTATTTAGGAATACATATTATATATATACATATATATATATATGTATATATATATATACACTACACAGAAAGGGGGGAATGATGTGATTGTATTATAATCTCAATAAAAATGACTTTTTAATAAAGAAAGTTCTTTTGGTACTAGACTTGCCCAGAACCACACAAGGTACTGGGCTCAACGTCACAGCACAAAATAATAAATGGAGCCCCTTTCCTGTAACATGAGAGGGCTGGCTTGTTGGGGTATCTGTCCCTCCCGGTACCCCATGCCGACATGCCCCAAAGAGAAAATCAATCATATAGAGATCTCTATAAGGTTATAAACTGATTGGTCCATTAGGTCAGGCATCTTGTTAACTCTTATAATTTATATTAACCCATTATTCTCATCTATGTTAGCCGTAATGGCTCCGTACCTTTCTCAGCTGGGCATATTAAGCAGAGTACATTCTCTAAACCAGTGGTTCTCATGACTGGCTGCAGGGGAGAATAATTCACAGAGTATTCCAAACTGTTGACTCCTGGTTCAAGCTCTGGACAGTTTTCTTCTACCTGGTCTAAGCATCAGCATTTGTTCAAGTCTCCAGATGATCCCAGTGGACCTTTAGACATGGAAGTCCCTTCCTAAGCCTGCATTTGGGTCACTTGTAATATTGAGCAGTAACTTTGAGCACTGTAGAATAAAGTAATGCTGTCTCTTTATTATCATAAGTCAGTCTCATACCATCGCAACACAGACCCACATTGATGAGAAAAGACCAACAGGAAATGGAGTCCAATGATTGGATTCATTTTAAAAGAAGAAACCACCAAATAAAAGAGACATTACTTTATACTTTTGACTGAAGGGTACCTGCTATAAAACAAAATGGATGATTTACATCAGGACTAGACACACAAATTATGTGACTGCTATCTGGTCTATCCCTCTTTGATTATACACAGTCCAGTTTCATAGACCCCAGCTGTGACACATGGGGTCCCATAACTGAATACTGAGTTCATTGAGTGAAAAAACCACTCCTAAGGGCAGGTCTAGAAGTAGATGGCCAACACAGAACAAATTCAACAGTGTGTTTTGGAGGTTCCTCATCTCATAATGTTCTGTCTGGGCAGTATTTTCTTTCTTCTCTTCCCTTACAGGTCTTTTGCATGTATACTATGGCTTCTGGTTTATAGGATTTTAGTGTATGTGAATGTGTATGTCTCTCCATCTATGTATATTTATTGTGCTTTTTCTGTGGCTGTTTTTCTCTTCTTTGTTTATTTGCTCCATTCTATTTCAGTTTGATTGCTTTTTTTTATTTTACCTACATTATTTTTGAATGCCTGTTTGTACTCTAACGAGAGCGAGAAAGAAAGGGTATGGATTTGGATGGGTGAGGAGTTGGAGAAGGGGAAACCATAATCAAAATATATTGTATGAAAAAACATTTATTTTCAGTTAAAGTAAAATTCCTGCTTCAGGTTCTGCATTTAGTGTCTCTTAGCATAACCCCCTTTAAATGTATGAACATATCCTGTTCATATGATTTTATTATAGCTTGTTAGTAAAAGTTGCAAACTCTTACATACAGAATGGTGCAGCCCAAACAATGAGTTACTTGCATGCCCCCTTCCCCACCCCCGGTCATAGATAAGAAAATGCTGACAGCAGAATAGAAAAACAAAACAAAACATTGTCTTTCCATCCAATACTGCTTTATCTATTCCTGATCTCTGTTTCTGTCTCTCTGTCTCTCTCTCTGTCTCTCTGTCTCTCTGTCTCTCTCTCTCTCTCCCCTTCCTTCCATTTTAAAAAACAAATTTTAGGGTCATTTTACAAATATCCAAGGAATACTTCATTGAATTTTAAGGAAATGTTTAGAATTTTAGAAGGGATTTGATATTTTATTTGGAAGAGAAGATAGTGGGATTCGGTAATGGAATTGATTTCCTGATTTTGTTCTCACTGAACTAGTTGTTGGAGGTGTCACCCACAGCCTCCAACTACCCTGTAGAGTTGTGACAACAGTAACAGGACAGTAGTGGCATAAGAATAGATGAGCACACAGATCTGTGGAATATAACAGCAGATCCAGAAATAAACCCATGCACTATGACCTTCCAAGTTTTAATAAAGTTGCTATGAACATATTTTTGGAGAGGGCCTTTTTAGCAACTTATGTTAGAAAAATAAGATGCCTACATAGAGAACTGAAATGCATCCCTTGCTTGTCTCCTGAAGCCGCAGGACGATTGGTAATGAAAAGTCCCCAGACTATCTTAATACAAAATATACAGCTTTAATAAACAGAAGTAAGACTTACACCAGCTTACACCAGAATCCAAACGATGATCCATCCGGGAACGTGCTTGCAGGTTTATAGGCAAGCTTTAGCCTAAGGGCAACACGCCCCACAAACAGAAAGCGATTGGCTGAACTCCCCCATCAGTCTCCCGAGACAAACATTTACTCAAAATAGATAAAACACATTAACTCAAAATTTGAAAATTTGAAGTCACAGGAGAAAAAATATAAGAACATTCCAAATGATGGTAAGAATTTACAAAAAAATGAATCTCATAAAAGTATTATCAGAATGAAGAGAAAAAATGCAGGGAAAAAGAAAATTTTTTATAGTGATTCATTGCCCAGAGAATTAATATCCAGAATATATTTAAAAACTCAACAATATTTTAAAAATTTAAAATATTATAATCAATAAAAATACAATATGTTCAGAAGATTCACAGCTCAGGAACCAAAAATCAAGGCTTGATCCTGACAATATGAAACTCTCTTCATTATATTAGATAGTTGTCGAAGGAAGTGGCGCTGGGTTGGGTGTACGGGTATTAGACTGCTTGTCCTCTGCAACCTGCCTTTATACAGAGATTTGAGACAAAGTTGTTTATCAGGTAAGTGACCTAAGGAAGCATTGAGATGAACTTAAGGAATGAAATAAGTCAACACAAATCATGTGATCAGAATATCTCCAGAAGCAGTTGGGCTCTGAGCCACTGAAGACCCAGGGAAAGCTGTGTATTCACTTGAGTGAGTGAGCGAGGACTTTGCTCACCCAACCCTTCTCACTGCTTGAACTCTGTGCCTGGGGGCTTTGACTCTTCTACCTACTGCTGCTTCTTAAACATGAGCAAGTTCTGAGCACAGAGGTTCACGTGCCTTTACAAGAACATCTTTCTTTTCTTTTCTTTTTATTTTTCTATTCAATTATTTACACTTCCTTCCCTCCTCCCAATCCCCTCCCACTCCCCCACACCCCATCCTCCCTCTCCCACCCTGCTTGAGAGAGGGCAGGGAACCCTGCCCTGTGGGAAGTCCAAGGCTCTCCCCGCTACTTCCAGGCCTAGGGGGCCGCGCATCCATATAGACTAGGGTCCCCCAAAGCCAGAACATGCCGTAAAAACAAGTCCCCGTGCCTTTATCACTGGCTTCTCAGTCAGCCCCTATTGTCAGCCACAATCAGAGAGTCCGGTTTGATCACATGCTCATTCAGACCTGGTCAAGCTGGATTTGGTGAGCTCCCATTAGAATAGGCACACTGCCTCAGTTGATGGAGCAACCCCGCACGGTCCTGACTTCGTTACTGTCTTCTCCCTTCTTCTGCCTTTCAACTGGACCTTGGGAGCTCAGTCTATTGCTCTGATGAGGATCTCTTGAAAGAGCACCCAGAGGGTGTCTCACACGCGTGGAGACCCGTGCCCAAGAACCAGGTCCGAGAGCCACTGGATGCAAGAACAAGAGGCAATTTTTATTGTTCACAGGCCTGTGGGTGCTGCAGTCACATGGAGAACTGAGCACCCCAAGCTGCGTTTTGGGGGTAGCTTTATATAGGCAGAAGCAAAATTACAGAAGCAAAAGCATGGTTACAGGGATCCCATTGGCCAGTTTGAATGAGGCGAGGGGTGAAATTGAGTGCAGGCCTTGTGGTCCTTGGTCTGGATCAAAGAAACCAGATAACTGACCTGACCCTATCTTAAGCACATATGGTTGCCTTTGAAGTCTTTACTCCCATCTCCGGCCAGATGTCTGACCATAAATCTCCTGCCTTATAGCCTGATAAGGCTGTCCTGGATATCTTGCCAGATGTCTGACCATAAATCCCCTGTCCTGCAGCCTGATAAGGCTGCCCTCGTTCTGACCTCAGGTATCCTGCTTTGCTCAGCATTCCGGGAAACTTTCCCTGAACTGAGCTTGTTTGTGTGAACCTTTGTAAAATGACACAACTGTAGCTAAAGCAAGTTGGGGATCCTTCACTCTGTCTCTATCTCCATCCTTCGCCAGACGAAGATTCTATGGTGATATTCAAGATAATCATCAGCGTGATAGTGGGGCAACATCTTTCTAAATAAGAAGAGGAGAGCCATGGGGACAGAACTGACACAGGCTGTCTTTGCACTGAGAAATCTTTGTGCTTCAGAATTTGACAGATGTGGAAAACAATCTGAGAGGATATATAATTAGAGATGATACGCATTGCATGCCTGCAAAATTCTGATTTATTTAAAATGTAAGAGAGTCTCCATTAAGAATATGGTAAGGAACAAACTTTTCTTTTTGTGTGTAAGGACAAACTTTACAGATTTCAGAGAAAATTTAAATTTGTGGTCATTTTAGAGAAAAATAATAGACAGGCAGGAGTAAGGCCAGACATTTGGAGGACAAAATCATTATCAGTTGGAACAGAGGTTTTACAATGTGCCTCTCAGGATCAGCTCACAGGTGATCTACATCAGAAATCCTGTGTGATGAAGAACATTAGTCTGTGAGTGAGAGCACTCAGCAGCAAGAGTAGCTAGAGCATGCTGGGCGGCAGCAGGAGGCCTGGCAACAGGTGGGGCGGCAGCAGCTGGAGATGCAGCACTGAGGCCTGCAGCAGCTGGACACACAGCAGCTAGGGCAGCAGCAGGTGGTTTGGCAGCAGGAAGGCCTGCAGCAGCTGGAAATGCAGCAGCTGGGGCGGCAGCAGGAAGGCCTGCAGCAGCTAGAGATGCAGCAGCTGGGGCGGCAGCAGCTGGATCCACAGCAACTGGAACTGCTACAGCAGGGGCGGCAGCAGCTGGAGATGCAGCAAGAGGGCCTGCAACAGCTGGACACACAGCAGCTAGGGCGACAGCAGCTGGGGCGGCAGCAGGAAGGCCTGCAGCAGCTTGAAATGCAGCAGCTGGGGCGGCAGCAGCTGGGGCGGCAGCAGCTGGGGCGGCAGCAGCTGGGGCGGCAACAGGTGGGCTGGCAGCACACAGACTGACAGCAGCTGGGTCTGCAGCAGCTGGACACACAGCAGGTGGGCCTGCAGCAGGTGGTCTGGCAGCAGCTGGGCTGGCAGCAGCCTTGGCCACAGCCCTCCTCAGAGCAGACAGAGCCACAACAGGAACTGACCATGGTGTCAGAGGTGGAGGTTCTGGGTGGTTTACAAGAAGGTGGGTTGGAAGATTTGGAAGTGGGAGTCTCCCTGCCCACATCCCCTTTTATACCCCACTGAGGGGCTGCTGTGCTCACATGCAGCATTCTTCCCTTGTTATTATTTGTGTTAATAAATAGGTGATTATCAAATTAAGTGAGTTTC